TGAAAAAAAATATCACTGTTCGTTATTTAATCCCTGTAGGGACTCATCAACAGTGTGCACAACGTTCGTGTCCCGCCCAGACCGCGTAATCGCTATTATCCTGGTTGGGATTCGAAATCCTTACACTTAAGCTACACGATAGACAATTTACTCCTTGAGCAAGTGGTTACAACAATTTAGAATGCAGTGTTTTATTGTAAGAATAAAAATACATTAAACATTTGGGTGGAATGAGTGAAATGTGCACACATACCCGAGACCAGATCCAATGCCTAGTACCTGTACAACTTGAATGGACTAACCTGAACACAGAATTAAAAATGGTAAATTTTTAAGCTAATAAAATTCATACTATCGGCGCCTATTGCCCAGATTTTATCTCACCCCTCTATCAGTTCATTAGACGGTAGTTTGGAAGTTGAATGTTAATATATTAAACGGCTTCATTCTTTTTTAACCTCAGAAATGGTACTTTGGAGTTTCATCTAAAACAAAGCTAGAGTAGAATTCCGTATACAACATGCACGGCGATTTCATCATCATCGGTCTGTGTCCTCAGATAGATTTATTCATCCCCTCTGTTACACCCGCCAACACACACGGTACGAAAGTCTAACCGTTCGCCATTCAAACAAAAATCGATCGATTAGCTCATGCACGTGCACATTTCGACTCAGGAGAACAAAACTGGGTCCACGACCTGTATGAAGCATTCTAATCGGATTGATATAACCACATATAATACCTAAATTTAGGCAGACAGACACGGTCAAGAGAACAGATAGATAAGCATATATTATCTACGAACCATGAGTGATTTGTGCGGCTCCGAATGTCCCAACCCGAACGACCACAAAGAATTAGCCTACCAATTAAGCCTAGTCCCATATGTGCTGAATGGATTAAAAAAATTTGAGACCCAGTCTGTCGAAATGCTCACCGATCATGGTGTTTTGGCACACGAATTGACCAAAAGTATGGATTGTATCTTGACTCTGCCCTCGTGGCTTCATTCGCACCGGATGCGCGCAAAAATTCAAGACGCTATCGAAACGGTACAGCCCCAAATGCGACAATTGGCTCAATGGTTAAAAGTGCACGTGGATCAGATACAGGAAATGCAGATCGCTCTCGAACGGACCGACGAGAAAATTCACACGTTTCTTACGACTGTCGGTTTACTGGGTGAGCCGAGTGGAACACGATCGGACACAGAATGTGAAAAGCTGTAGACAAAAAGTCTATCTTTCGTGTATGCATAAAGTTACGAAATAAAGAAGATGTATGAAATACTCGAGAATGTATTCAGTAGTCATCCACTTTGACTCAAACATCAGAATTGGTTGCACAACCCTCCGGAAGCATAATATGGGGTTCAAATAGCACTTCCCTTTAAAATACATCATATCACCGGAACTTGAATAGGACTTGGGTGTAACTGACAACCATATTGCTGAGATATTTTTTGGAAATGTGCTATGGCTGGCTAATCCTGTGGGACTGCGGTTTTCAGCGAGTTCAACTAAAAAGCGATCTCACAAACAAGCGCTAGTGATTGGATTAATACTATTTCTCAGTCACAACTAAACTGAAGCGCATCTGGGAACTAAAAACCCTAACACTTGGATTGGAACCTCAGGCTCCATATCTCTAGTTCATAAGGATTAAAAGAAGATACAAGTTGTAAGCTGTGGCAGTATTATTCAAGTTTATCGATGTTATGTTCTGGTTAGACGTACGCGCGGTGGTGGCCAAGTGGTTAGGTCACCGACTTGTGACCCGGAAGTTTCAGGTTCAAACCGCTCCACCACCGCCCGTCTTCCCTATTTCTGTATTTTCCCCAGGCAGCCTTTGTATGGCCGCAACCCCCTTCCTGAAAATTGACTGTACATTTGTATATTCAATAAACAAAAAAGGAAGTAAAAAGACAAAAAGACAAATAAAATGACTGACACGAACGCTTCCTGCCTAGATCCCAACAATGATATGGGACAGAGGAAACGCGACTGGAAAGCAACAGCCAGAGTGTAATTGTTGATCATGACGTGATACGCAAATATAAGTGGGTAAATTGGGCATATGGGAACGGCATGGCGATGCGCCAATCAGATCGCGTCCTTGACATTCGGATGACATCTGTCTGATTCGTCCAAGTCAACCCATCCGGAATCGACTCGCTTTGGGATTCACGAGCGTGCTTGTGGTGTGCAGGCCCGTGCGCGACTCGACGGGTTCTGTGAGCCTCATCTTAAAGTCTACACAGTCCAGGCAGTCATCATGTTAACACATCTATCAGATGGAATAGATTGATGTTTTACTTCCTTTTTTGGGACCATGAAATGTGGCTAAGCAGAATCTGATCAAATCAAGTAAGATTTAGCTATATGCATCCTTGGGTGGTTTTCAGCCAGTTATCAACCCTGACCGAAATTTGGAGTTATCTTCATTATGGAAAAGGCGGTGTGGTCTTTCATCTTTTCTAATATTGCTTAATGTGACAATCGCTTTGAGGAAAAATCTATCAACATTATTGGTTTGTCTCATCGTCTCATGTGCGCATCGACCCGTTCGTCTGTCGCGTGGAGGTTAATGAAACAAATCGACACTATGTGTATCTGTATTCGTGAAGTGAGTGGTCCAGATAGTATGGTCGAGGTACGGTCACACACTTGGCATTTGGTATCCATGCGTCAGTATGGATGTTTTCGAATTAGTCACTTACTCCGGATTCTGTTGTTTACGGCATTTTTCTGCACTGGGATTCGTGCCGACTAGTTTTCCACTTTGAGGCCGCAGTGTTCAGTTGCCGCATATTTCTGTTTGGTGCGTATGTGGTTTGGTTGGTATACACACGATCCAGTGGCGCGTAGTTTGGGTAGCTTCTTTTGGTTGGAGGGGGAGTGCCTTTGTTGTTGTTGCTCTACCCGATATCAGATCTTTTCCAACATGGGACCTTGAGTGGTTGACCTCACGAAACCCAGCTGTTCAATTTCACCATTTGTCCTGATCGCAATACAAGCCTTGATCATTATTTCATGCAATTCATAACATATTGCTCAGAATAATGAAGAACTGTATATACAGTGGAAAGGATACTCTGCAGTATGTCCAAAAAGCTCACTTCTGAAAGTCAGTCCTCAATCGATCAGATGATCGGATGCTCTGTGAACACACTATTGTTCGGAACGAACAACCGGCAAAGTTTACTCAAGCAATAGTGTCCACCGGAGACAGTATTTACACGGTTGTGAGGGCCTTGCTGTGCCTGTTTATGATTGTGACAACCCAAAACTCTAACAGAATAAAAAGGGCTGACGTCAAAAGCTATCAATCTTATCGACAGACCTCCCAGGTTTTAGCGCTTATGTAGCTGAATCCATACGCATCATGAGAATGAGAGAGATTTGATTGGGGCTGGTCATCATTATCCGTAATGTACCTCATTATCTAGATCACCGAACAGCCAATATGCTCCTAGTCTGACTGAATTCTGGCCTCCACGATCACACACACACACACACACACACACACACACGTAAGCAAATTAAAACATCATGGAACTGTCAAATCCGCCTCGAGATTCAAGTTGCAGTAGACAGGGTTAAAATTTCGAAAATATTTATAACTATATAGAAATAATAGGCACATCGTCTTGAGTCTTTCTTTCTCTCGTCAACGTTTGATCAGCCAATCACATTCAAGGTCACATAGTTTGACACGTATTGAAGCTGTTTTCTGTGCATACCACACGTGTTTTTAGGCTTCCGAAGAAGGAAAAAAAAGAAACTGAACGAATATCCAATCCATAACGCTCAACGTCCACACCCAACACACATTTTGTTTAGGTCTACAAGCACAAATCTATTTGCCCGACCGAGATCAAGGATCGGAATACTGATACTGAACTTGTACATCGATCACCTCACAGGAATTTCATGGTAGTTTTTTCAGTTAAACTGTACTCTGATTATCGGATCTTTTTAACGTGGTATGTGTGTGTTTTACGAGCCTACTCATTAGGACTGTTCGTATTTCTATTTGGCTACTGGAACTTAGTCTTACCAGTATCCCTACACTGCGTTTGAACCAATCTCCCTCGAAAGGTTTATCTTCGGTCGCCTCCTCCTAACTTGATACAATCCACTGATTTGTGGCTCAGATAGACAGTGTTCATCTAAACACACCTGTGTTCTTTGTACAATCAAGCGGAAGCTGCAATGCAGGAAGGGTTTGTTGTTGTGTGGATGTCAGTGGTTACCTAGGAGACCACTGAACATCTGATGGATGGGAACACCATGCAGGGATTCATGCAATCCAGTTGGCGGAATGGATTTCTTTTGCAGCCGTTAGATCATGAAGTGGATTAGCCAATAGCGACTTTTTCATGGCATACGCCATCTCGTCGAGGTTTCCGTTGACCTCCACTTGGTTTAGCCTGTCTGTCGAGCGGTTTACTGTGATGTATTGTAGTTCAGCAAGCCTGCCTGATTTTTGGAGAAACAAGTAAAATTTTGGTGAATTTCTCGATAGTCCAGCTACTCAGGGGTGATACTCCTATCGCGCACATCACTAAGCATGACTTGAATAAGCCCGAGCAAGGTTGTATTCTGGTAGCGTAATCGCACTTTGAACGAACGATTCAGGTGAGTGAGGTAACCTATTATTGTAAGGAGATGTGTCTTACTAGTTCATACCGAGTTTCTAGCATATTGTTCGTTCTGTGCAGGCCAAGTCAGTGAATGACAAACCCAATTAATTTAATAAACACAGCAAGCTAAAAATTGCAAAAGAAACGGTTGCGTAAGCTCCAAAATTACGAGTCACATGCGTTCAATTCAAAAGTGATGACGTAAGCTACTTGCTCAAGAAAAACGACTGAGATTGGCAATCGCCCCAAACTACTTTGCAGCCAACCCCCAAATTATCTATCGGACAACTAAACCTTTTCCAACTTAAGATGTCATGTTGCTATGTGGTCAGTAACATAGTGCGGTGCTCTTGTTGTCAGGTCCAGTCCATCCGTGTGCTGATGGCAAGCCTGCTGTACAGTCGAAGTTCACTGGGTCTGCCTGAGAGTCACGGTTGTAAAGAGGGTGTGGTTTCTCGCTCGGGCTATCTGGGCAAGCACCAGGCCCCTTGTTACGACTGCACCACCCGATCGATCGATAAATGAATCCGATTGATCGGGCCGGGACAGAAAGAGGACAAGTTCTGAATCCGATGCTGCTTAAGTGTTGGTAGAGCATCACCACAGTAGAATCAACTATGGAACGATGCACCATGTGGAAAATTCGGAATAAAAAACGTTCAAGCGATGATGACACTGGGTCAACGTTTGACTCGTCTAAGATTCACGCACTAGTTTTTTTACGCGGGTTCGGCAAAGGGATAATCCTCATAAAACTTTGAACTTGTCTTAAGCACGGACTACAATATTCACTGATACAGGCCAACGCAAAACCCTTCTTGAAATTTTACCAGCTGGCATTTTTAGCGTTGAACGATCTTGCTAACTACATTGGAAATAGAATTGCGGAGAAGAGAACAAACAGTTTGGAAAAATGCATATTTATTTCACAAAAAATGTTTAATATGTTTTCCATCCTGCTTCTTGCACAGCAAAACACGGCAGAGATAGTTTATTTCTACCTTCAGAATGATAGCAGTTGGAATACATTTCGCGAACTCTGCTTTAGCTCCTCGATCGTTCTCGGTCAGATCCGCGGCATAGAAACAACGGTCGAAACTAAAAGACTCCGTCATCTGCTCCGGTTCAATATCTTCTGATGACACAAGTTCAGATCGACCGAAGCAGAGCGGTTTGGATTAACTACAAGGTTTGCAGAAATGATTTCTGTCAATCGATGGGAGCCCCTCTCGTGTTTCAACAAAAAGAACTTTGTGTTGGTTTGTCCTTACTCTGGTGACATAGTCCTTTTACCCCTCCCCCTCTTTTATGTCTGTGTGCTTGAATGTTTTACTTTTCTGTGCTGTTATGACCTATATAACATAGTGTTTTCTGCAGTATGCACCATGCTGAGATGTAGCAAAGTCGTCCTGGACTTAAATCGTGCAGTGCATTGCAATATGGTCCCTCCTTTTGGAATTAATCTCGAGAAAGGCTCGCTTCAATTTGGGATGTGTTCATTCACTTTGTGGACCAACTAGGTCGCTCTGTTCTGCTTAGTTTCGTGTCAGTCCGATTGAAACAAGTTTGGAGCGGTGGTAACAT